GCTGGGGGCTGCTGGGGATGGGGGGGGACAGACCCCGCTCCTGCCCCTCCATCCCTCCCTGCCCACGCCGGCAGCAGTGTCGGTCCCTGCCAGTGTCCCCGGGGACCCCAAATAACCCTGAGAGGGCACTGGGGGGGCTGGGGGCTCCCCCGGGACGGTGAGGGGGGTCAGGAGGGTGCCGGGGCCCGACAGGCAGCGTTGGCCGGGGGAGGGTGCGAGTTCACGGCGGCCGGGGCAGGGGGGTGGATGGTGGTGCCGATGGTGTAGTCGGCCGGCTGCGAGGGACAGACAGACAGACGGCATGTGGTGAGCTGGGGGGGTGTTGGGGAGACCCCCGAGGCACACCCCTCCCGAAAAATACCCCCCCAGTCTCTTACGTGTCGTCGGAAGAGCCTCTGGAAGAGGCTGCGCTTGGGGGGCTCGGGCAGCTGCCTCCAGTCCAGGTCCGGGGAGCGCGTCCCGTTGGGTCCAAACACGTTGAGGTCCTTGAAGCACTCGGTCTCGATCATCTGGGGGGGGTCTGGTCAGTGGGGGTGATGGGCACGGGCAGCCCCGGCGGTGCAGCAGCAGGGTGGGACCCTCCCAGAGCCCCGTGTCCCCCCCATACCTCGTTCTGCCAGGGGATGGGGACGCTGCCGGTGGCGAACTTGGCGTAGAAATCGTTGTCGGTTTGGTCCAGGTTGACGCCCTTCACCGTGGAGAACTGCTCGATGTCCAGCACGTCCTTGCAATAAACTGCCCGGGGCTGCGGGGGCCCCAAGAGCTGTCAGTGGGGGGGGGAGAGGGGGTCATACCCCCCCCCAGCCATGGGTGCCCACCCCTGCCCTGTCCTTACGTCCGGCACGAAGGAGGGGGGCATGATGCCGGCCTCCAGGCGCTTGAAGTTGATGCTCCTGAAGAAGGGGTGACGCTTCACCTCGGCCGCCCCCTCGGCCCCGCAGCCCAACCGCTGCTTGGGGTCCTTGGCCAGGAGCTGGGGAGGGGGACGGGTGGTCACGGGGAGGGCACGGAGCCATCCCCCCTCTCCCCCACGGCGGGGGGCAACCCCAGCCCTTCTCCAAGCTCACCATCTTGCAGATGGCTTGGGCGTCCTCGCTGAACTTGTCCGAGTAGGGCTCCTGGTCCTCCTGCACCCGCTTCTCCACCTCCTCCCGCTTCACCCGCTCCTTGCGGGCGCGGAAGGGCGACTGCCCCTCGATCATCTCGTACACCAGGCAGCCCAGGCCCCACCAGTCGGGGCTGAAGGTGTAGCGCTCGTTGTTGATCACCTCCGGGGCTACGAGGCACGGCCCCCACACCCGTCAGCGACCCGGCACGACGTGCCACGGGGACCCCCGGGCCAGGGCACAGCCCCCACACTCACCCATGTAGCCAACGGTGCCCACGCGGCCACGGATGGTCTCGCCCTCAGGGATCTTGATAGCCAGCCCCAGGTCGGAGATCCTGATGTGGCCTGGGGAAGGGAGGGGGTTCAGGGCATCAGCCCAGGGAAGGTGTCCCAGATAGAGAGGGTGTCAGCCCAAGGAAGATGCCCCAGATGGAGGGCATCATCCCAGGAAAGTGCCCCTGCATGGAGGGCCTCGTCCCAGGGAGGGCGTCAGCCCAAGGAAGATGCCCTGCATGGAGGGCATCATCCCAGGGAAGTGCCCCTGCATGGAGGGCCTCGTCCCAGGGAAGGTGTCCCAGATGGAGAGCATCATCCCAGGAAAGTGCCCCAGATGGAGAGCATCGTTCCATGGAAGGTGCCCCACATGGAGAGCATCGTTCCATGGAAGGTGCCCCACATGGAGAGCATCGTTCCATGGAAGGTGTCCCAGATGGAGAGCACCATCCCAGGGAAGGGCCACCCCACATCCCCGTAGAACCTCCCCAAAACACAGCCAGAGACCCCCCACAGGAGGCACAGAGAGACCCATCCCCAAAGCCAAGAGCACGGGCAGCGCCAGACCCAGCAGCTCCCTCCTCACCGGCCACCCCACATCCCCGCAGATCCTCCCCAAAACACAGCCAGAGACCCCCCACAGGAGGCACAGAGAGACCCATCCCCAAAGCCAAGAGCACGGGCAGCGCCAGACCCAGCAGCTCCCTCCTCACCATCGTCATCCAGCAGGATGTTCTCCGGCTTCAGGTCCCTGCGGGGACAGACAGACGGACGGCTCAGCACCGAGGGGGTCCCCTGCGGCCACCCTGTGCCCACGCCAGTCTCACCGGTAGACGATGCCCTCCTGGTGCAGGTGCTGGAGCCCGCAGCAGATCTCTGCCGCGTAGAAGACCACGCGCTCGTCCTCGAAGCCGGGGTTGCCCATGTTGTAGATGTGGAACTTGAGGTCGCCGCCGTTCATGATGGTCAGCACCAGGCAAAGAGCATCCTTTGTCTCATAGGCGTACGCCAGGCTCACCTGCGTGCCCCCCCCAGCCATCAGCACCAGTAAACGTGTCCTTGGTGACCGACTGCCTGAAACACACAGCCCTGGGGGTGTCACCCCCTGGACACCCCCCACCAAGACCCCTGG